AGCCAGTGCTCTGAGGAGGCCAGAGTGCTCTAAGACTCTTGTTCCCTGACGCCCACAGGATGCCGATGGCTGCCCTGTCAACATCGTGGTCATTCCCAATGGCGACGGCACCTTCCGCTGCTCCTACGTGCCCACCAAGCCCATTAAACACACCATCATCATCTCCTGGGGAGGCGTCAATGTGCCCAAGAGCCCCTTCCGGGTGTGTCCTCCTGTCCTGTCCCCTGCCACCTAGGGCCCCAGAGGGAGGGCGGAGCCCCACATGGGAGATGTTGGTTGTCTCTGGGCCTTTGTGTCTACTTCCCACCTCAAAGCCCACAAAGAGGCTAAGGCTGGTCCCATTAAGGCTGAAGTGGGTAGTGATGTATGGGGCCTGTGGGAGGGGCCCTGGGCTGAGCATCAACCCCCTCCCCACAGGTAAACGTGGGAGAAGGCAGTCACCCCGAGCGGGTGAAGGTGTATGGCCCAGGCGTGGAGAAGACGGGCCTCAAGGCCAACGAGCCTACCTACTTCACAGTGGACTGCAGCGAGGCTGGACAAGGTGTGCCTGGGTGTGGGAGTCGGGAGTGGGCGGGGTCCAGGGCAGAGTCTAGGTGGGGTCCAGGTAGGTGGGGCTCACACTCTGGCCAGATCCTGCTTCTAGGTAAGTTTCTAGGCTTACAGCTAGAAAGCTTACAGCTTCTAGGCTGTTGAGACCCCACTCATGGCCTTGCACCGGCTTCCCCTCAGGTGATGTGAGTATTGGCATCAAGTGCGCCCCTGGAGTGGTGGGCCCTGCAGAAGCTGACATCGACTTTGACATCATCAAGAATGACAATGACACCTTCACAGTCAAGTACACACCCCCAGGGGCCGGCCGCTACACCATTATGGTGCTGTTTGCCAACCAGGTACTCTACCCTTGGCTTCTGGCAGTCCCTGGTGGCCCGCACCCTCTATGCCTAAGCTGCAGCCTGGTATCCTGTCCTTTGGGGACAGTGGCACAGCCATGAGTTGAGCACTTTCTGTGTGCAGGCAGCATGCCTCAGAAGAAACAAAGGGGCTGTTTCAGAAGCTACCTTTGCCTACGCTGACCAAATCTTTTTCTCCATCTAGGAGATCCCTGCCAGCCCCTTCCACATTAAGGTGGACCCATCCCATGATGCCAGCAAGGTCAAGGCTGAGGGCCCTGGGCTGAACCGCACAGGTAGGTGTCTGGGCAGGGGCTGGGATAGGCTGGGATTGAGGCTACGTGTCCACCAGGCCCTCACCACTGTCTTGTGGGGGGCGCTCCTCAGGTGTGGAAGTTGGGAAGCCCACTCACTTCACGGTGCTAACCAAGGGAGCCGGCAAGGCCAAGCTGGATGTGCACTTTGCCGGGGCTGCCAAGGGTGAGGCTGTGCGGGACTTTGAAATCATCGACAACCATGACTACTCCTACACTGTCAAGTACACAGCCGTCCAGCAGGTGTGTCCCGCTTCCTTCCCGCCCCACCTATCCTGGTTGTGCATCTCCTTCCGTGCGTCTCCCAGGACCACTTCTGGGTTGTCTTGGCCCCTTTCCTGCCACTTATCCTCTCTGGCTGGACCCGAAATCCACATCGGCCAAGGGCATGTTGCCAGGCTGTGTCTAAGCCACCCACTTCTAACCTCCTTTTGTACCCAACAGGGCAACATGGCAGTGACAGTGACCTATGGTGGGGACCCTGTCCCCAAGAGCCCCTTTGTGGTGAATGTGGCACCTCCACTGGACCTCAGCAAAGTCAAAGTTCAGGGCCTGAACAGCAGTAAGTGGGGCAGGCGCTGCGCTGGAAGGGAGGGATGCTGTGGCGTGGGCCGGAGTCTCTGCTCACTGCCCCTTGATCTCTCCGCAGAGGTGGCTGTGGGACAAGAACAGGCATTCTCTGTGAACACACGTGGGGCTGGTGGTCAGGGCCAGCTGGATGTGCGGATGACCTCACCCTCCCGCCGCCCCATCCCTTGCAAGCTGGAGCCTGGGGGTGGAGCTGAAACCCAGGCCGTGCGCTACATGCCCCCTGAGGAGGGACCCTACAAGGTGGATATCACCTACGACGGTCATCCAGTGCCTGGCAGCCCCTTTGCTGTGGAGGGTGTCCTGCCCCCTGACCCTTCCAAGGTGAGGAGATAGGAGTTGAAGGGAGCTGGGATTTAGGGTTTATAGGGAAAACGGATGAGTCACGGAGGCCAGAGGGCCCATGTACCTGGAGTGACTGCAGCCAAGGGATCCAAGGCCATGGTGATCCTCCATCTCAGGACCTGTCTTTGAGACAGCCTAGTTATTAAGAGTGCGGCCTTTGATCACACCTGGGCTTGAATTCCAGCTTACTAACTGGGACAAATTATTTAATCTCTTTGCCTCCATTGCCTCATCTAGAATTGTTGTAAGGACTCAGTCTGTTGTAGCTGCTGCAGTTAAAGGTGCTTAGCTGGGTGGGGAGAAATGAAGACCAGGCATGGTAGAGGCCAGTAAGGAACCCATATACCTGCTCCTCTCCCTAGGTTTGCGCTTATGGCCCTGGTCTCAAAGGCGGCCTGGTAGGCACCCCAGCACCGTTCTCCATTGACACCAAGGGGGCTGGCACAGGAGGCCTGGGGCTGACTGTGGAGGGCCCCTGTGAGGCCAAGATTGAGTGCCAGGACAATGGTGATGGCTCATGTGCTGTCAGCTACCTGCCCACGGAGCCTGGCGAGTACACCATCAACATCCTGTTTGCCGAAGCCCACATCCCTGGCTCACCCTTCAAGGCCACCATCCGGCCTGTGTTCGACCCGAGCAAGGTGCGGGCCAGTGGGCCGGGCCTGGAGCGTGGCAAGGCTGGCGAGGCAGCCACTTTCACTGTGGACTGCTCGGAGGCTGGCGAGGCTGAGCTGACCATCGAGATCCTGTCGGACGCCGGTGTCAAGGCCGAGGTGCTGATCCACAACAACGCCGACGGCACCTACCACATCACCTACAGCCCTGCCTTTCCTGGCATCTACACAATTACCATCAAGTATGGCGGGCACCCTGTCCCCAAATTCCCCACCCGCGTCCATGTGCAGCCCGCTGTCGACACTAGTGGAATCAAGGTCTCGGGGCCTGGAGTGGAGCCTCACGGTGAGTGAGAGGAGCCCTTCAGGGAGCCCTGGTCATCGTCGGGAGGGAGCGAGCAGGGCTGAGGGCTCAGGCAGGGCCAAGGCAGAGGTGAAAGGAGGGCTTGGGGGCAGGCTTGGAGTCCTTAGGGCTCAGACACCCTGAGAAGGCACCAAGGGCCAGAGGCTGGGCGTGGAGCTTTGCCTCTGCTCACGTGGCCAACTATGTGCTTCTTTCTGGGGAGATCCCAGCTTTCAGATTAGGTGCCTGGTCTGAGAAAGCTATGGACCCCAGTGTGGAGAGTACAGAGGGAAAGCTCTGGGGTAGAAGGTCAGGAGCTAGTTCAGCCCAGCTCAGTAAGTGTGAGTGGCCACCTGTTGGAGGCCAGTCCCTGGTGAGGCATGAGGGTGGAAGGTCTAGGGAGACAGAAGACCCAGACCCACCCTCGAGGAGCCCACAGCCTGGCAGGGTGCCCAACATGAACAGAATATCGCAGGGTGGTGATGGGAGTAAAGCAGGGGCTGTGGGGGATGGGCCTGGAGTGCACGGGTGCAGACGGTGGCTGGGCCCAGGATGGGACGTAGCAGGTGGACAAGAGCAAGAGCCTGGCGGCTGGGGAGGGTGGTGGCATGAGCGACTATGTGAGGCTGCCCTTGACTCACACGGAGTGCTCCTCTCCTGCGACCCAGGTGTCCTGCGTGAGGTGACCACAGAGTTTACCGTGGATGCAAGATCCCTAACAGCCACCGGTGGGAACCACGTGACAGCTCGTGTGCTCAACCCCTCGGGCGCTAAGACGGACACCTATGTGACCGACAACGGGGATGGCACCTACCGAGTGCAGTACACAGCCTACGAAGAGGGTGAGGACATGGGCTGAGCGGGGAGGGTGGGGAGCTGATGACTCTCAGTGTGGATGGGATCCTGGGGGCTGCGCCCACCCTGACTCCCGCCGTGTGTCTGGCTTTCAGGCATGCATCTGGTGGAGGTCCTGTATGATGAGGTAGCTGTGCCCAAGAGCCCCTTCCGAGTGGGCGTGACCGAGGGCTGCGACCCTACCCGCGTGAGGGCCTTCGGGCCGGGCCTGGAGAGTGGCTTGGTCAACAAGGCCAACCACTTCACTGTGGAGACCAGGTACCCTCTCCCTTCCCTAGTTGGGGCACGGATGCGGTAGCCACCCTGATCCGGCCATTCGCCCTCTCCCCTCCCCCCTCCAGGGTGACCTAGGAGCCGGCCTCCCCCGGTGTTTCCAGACCAGCCCCTTTAGTTTATCTCTCCTCAGCCGGGCACCTGGCAGCCTGTCCTCTGTCTTCCAAACACCTCCTTCAGAGACTCTTCCCTCTCCCTGCTCACTGTTCCTAGCAGAGCTGATAAGAGTGTTACCTTGCAGGGGAGCTGGCACCGGAGGCCTAGGCCTGGCCATCGAGGGCCCCTCGGAAGCCAAGATGTCCTGCAAGGACAACAAAGATGGTAGCTGTATTGTGGAGTACATCCCCTTCACCCCTGGAGACTACGACGTCAACATCACTTTTGGAGGGCGGCCCATCCCAGGTGTGCAGAGGGTGGGTGGGTGAGGGGGGTGCAGGGAAGGCAGCAGGGATGACGCATGGCTGCTGAGGCTGTGGCCGAGGCAGAGCAGTGGTGGCTGTTGATGGGACAACCCTTCAGTTCATTCCCACAGGCCCAGTGCTGGCGTCCGGCCTTTGCCTGGAGCGCCAGACCTCACGAGTTGGGTCACTCAGATACGGTCCAGGCTGCTCTCACCAGCAGAGAGCCTCTCTCTCTCTCTCTCATGCCTTCTTGCTCTGTCTGCAATAAACAGGGCTGAGCTGCTTGGGCAGGTCATGTCTTCCGTTAGTGAAGAGCTTGAGCATGCTGAAATTGGGCATTTTTTTCCCACTTTTCTAATTTCATGGTCCAAAGTGTATTTTAAGATAATCCATTTTTAGCACTTTATTATCGCAGGAAGGTCTTCTTCCTGTGACCCAGCACATGAGGTTTGCCTCACCTTAGTCTGCGGCCAGGTTTATTTGACCCAGTTTAAGCATTTGCACATGTTGGTTTGGCCTCTCGGGGGTATTTCAAAGGCAGGGAGGGCAGGGAAGACCTCTTCCCGGGCAGGTGGGCAGGGGTTGACGTCCTTCTCCTTGCAGGGAGCCCATTCCGGGTGCCAGTGAAGGATGTGGTGGACCCTGGGAAGGTGAAGTGCTCAGGGCCGGGGCTGGGGGCCGGTGTCAGGGCCCGGGTACCCCAGACCTTCACAGTGGACTGCAGCCAAGCCGGCCGGGCCCCACTGCAAGTGGCCGTGCTGGGCCCCACAGGTACAGAATGTCTGGGGCAGGGTGGAAGGGGGCAGGGCAGGATGCGAGGAGGCTCTGCTGACCCTGCCCCCCTTGCTCAGGTGTGGCCGAACCTGTAGAGGTGCGTGACAATGGAGATGGCACCCACACCGTCCACTACACCCCTGCCACTGATGGGCCCTACACGGTAGCCGTTAAGTATGCTGACCAGGAAGTGCCGCGCAGGTGAGAAGTGCTTTTGGGCTCCCATGCTGTGGCTGAGCTCTGGGGCACTCCTACTGGGCCCCTACCTGCAGGCCTCTGCTGGGGCCCTGGGGGTTCCCTCACCACCACCATCCTGGCCTCATCTGTTCTCAGTCTCAGCCACCCCACCTGCTCTTCCTTGGGCCAGGCTTTCCCACCACATACCTACAAAATGAGTGCCCTGGGAGAAGGCAGCCTCCTGTACCCTCTTCTTTAAACCAACCACAGCATCTTCCCCAGAATGCAGAAATTCTTAGGGTCTGTCATGGGTACCCTCGATTAGTCCCCCCAGAAAACTCAGGATGCGGTCTGTTCCTTCCTCCCCCTGCCACAGTCATCCCTCCTGTTCATGTCTGAGGTGAGTCTTCCCCTCAGACTCCCGGCCAACTGTCCATCCTTTCTGCCCCTCAAGCCCCTTCAAGATCAAGGTGCTTCCTGCCCATGATGCCAGCAAGGTGCGGGCCAGCGGCCCCGGCCTCAACGCCTCTGGCATCCCCGCCAGCCTGCCCGTGGAGTTCACCATCGATGCCCGGGATGCTGGGGAGGGTTTGCTCACCGTCCAGATCCTGGTGAGTGCGTCTGTGTGTAGCCTGCTTCCCCACTCAGGGTTTGGGCACAGGCAGGCCCTGACCTCTGCTTACCACCCAGGACCCTGAGGGAAAGCCCAAGAAAGCCAACATCCGAGACAACGGGGATGGCACATATACTGTCTCCTACCTGCCGGACATGAGTGGCCGGTACACCATCACCATCAAGTATGGTGGTGACGAGATCCCCTACTCACCCTTCCGCATCCATGCCCTGCCCACTGGGGATGCCAGCAAGTGTCTCGTCACAGGTAGGCCGCCACCCCACGTCCTCCGCCCCTGTGTACCATCAAGCACCCCTCACTGCTCTTCCAGGTCCCTAGCCCGGGTCCCAGGGGACTGCTGGTCAGAGGGCCCACCTCTCCAACCTCCCGTGCCCCCACCCCCACCCCCCGCCCCCTCCCAACGGCTACGTGGCCTCACACTCTTCTCTGTTTCCAGTGTCCATTGGAGGCCATGGCCTGGGTGAGTGCCCCTTTACTTCTCTTCTCGCTGTGGGCTGCGGTGGCAGGGGCAGCTGGGAATGGAGGGGGACTGGGCGCAGCCCCCACAGATTCTCAACCTGGCTCTGCCGGGTGGCAGGTGCCTGCTTGGGACCCCGCATCCAGATCGGGGAGGAGACCGTGATCACGGTGGATGCCAAGGCGGCAGGCAAGGGGAAGGTGACATGCACAGTGTCCACGCCGGATGGGGCAGAGCTCGACGTGGACGTGGTTGAGAACCACGATGGTACCTTTGACATCTACTATACAGCGCCCGAGCCGGGCAAGTATGTCATCACCATCCGCTTTGGAGGCGAGCACATCCCCAACAGCCCCTTCCACGTGCTGGTAAGCTCCAAGGCCCTGGACAGCGGCTGGGGAGATGGGCCCTCTTAGCAGCAGAAAGGAATCCCAGAACCTGTCCTCACATCTGATGGACTCTGGGGCCAGAGTGTTCGAGTCAAGCCTTTGGCTTCCCACAGCCTCCCAACTTGGGAGTTGAGCACAGCCCCTGTTTTCTGGCCCCTCCGGTGCTCAGTCGGCTCTCCCTGGAGGAATTTGCCAAGTTCTCTGATCCTCAGGCCCCCTGTCCCTATACATTCCCCCCACGGTGGCCGTGCAGGACGATGAAGCCCTCTAGAGGGTAAAGCACCGAGATTATCCATCCGGCCTCAAGGACAGCCCAAGATTTCAGCCTCGGAGTCAGCTCTCACTCCCCCAAGCTGGCGTGAACTGGCCTACCGGGTAACGAGCCGTGCTCTCCCATGCCTTGTCTCCCAGGCGTGCGACCCCATGCCCCACGTGGAGGAGCCTCCCGACGTGCTGCAGCCACACCGGCCCGGCCCCTACCCCACACACTGGGTACTGCCGCCACCCACCTGGGGGATACCTCACCCTCCTCCTCCTCCTGCTCCTTCATTTCTTCCTTCTGATCCTGGTGGCCAAGGGCTGGGGCACGGTCTGGGAGCCATCTTGGGGAGCAGGCGGGAGCCAGGCTGGGCAGACGGATCCCCGAGCTGAGCACGGCACCTCTTCTGCAGCTGACACACCTCTCCTGCCGTTCTGGTTTCACCGTTAACCATCTTGTTCTTTCCGCACTTTCTCTGACTTCAGTTGGGACTCAGGCCAAGCTCCCTAGGCCTTCCCCAGCCCATGACTGTTCCTCTCCCCTTGCCCCAGGCCACAGAGGAGCCAGTGGTGCCTGTAGAGCCAATGGAGTCCATGCTGAGGCCCTTCAACCTGGTCATCCCCTTCACTGTGCAGAAAGGGGAACTCACAGGTACTGTCCTGGGGCCCCGAGGCAGGAGGGCTCGGAGGGGGCACTTCTTCCAGGCCCAGAGCGGGAAGGTGAACTACCCAAGGTTAGGGCAGAGCTGCAATTCAGACTCAAGCCTTCTGTGGCCCTGTTCAGGCTTCCTCTCACTGCTCCAGGCTGTCTCCTGGTGCCTGGGACAGCAGGGACAGGGTGGGCTGGGGTAGGATGAACAGGGTCGCCTACATGACTGTGCTCCCTGGCAGGGGAGGTACGGATGCCCTCTGGGAAAACGGCCCGGCCCAACATCACTGACAATAAGGATGGAACCATCACGGTGAGGTATGCGCCCACCGAGAAAGGCCTGCACCAGATGGGGGTCAAGTATGACGGCAACCACATCCCTGGTAAGTGGGGCCAGGCTGGGAGGAACCCACACTGACTTCATTCTTGCCTGCCTTCTTTCAACAAATGCTCACTGAGCGCCTGCTGTGTGCAGACACCACGCCGGGCCCTGGGGAGGCTGTATCTTGGTGGGAGGCAGACACGAAAGCTGCAGGAAGGCACTTGGGGGCCATGGTGGGGCTCAGGCAGCTCCCATCCTCACTACTGACCCAGTCCCCTTTCTCGGTCTCCCTCAGGAAGCCCCCTACAGTTCTACGTGGATGCCATCAATAGCCGCCACGTGAGTGCCTACGGGCCAGGCCTGAGCCACGGCATGGTCAATAAGCCGGCCACCTTCACCATTGTCACCAAGGATGCAGGCGAAGGTGAGGGGAGCGCTAGGCAGAGGGCTGGGGGAGGGGGCCAGGCACAGGGATGAGGGCGGGACCTCTGATCTCAGCCCCACCCCCCCCTACAGGGGGCCTGTCCCTGGCTGTGGAGGGCCCATCCAAGGCAGAGATCACCTGCAAGGACAACAAGGATGGCACCTGCACCGTGTCCTACCTCCCCACGGCCCCTGGGGACTACAGCATCATCGTGCGCTTTGATGACAAGCACATCCCAGGGAGCCCCTTCACGGCCAAGATCACAGGTGGGGTGGAAGGAGGCACACGGGCCCCAGCACACGATGGATGTGCAAGACCAGCGTGTTCAAGTAACCCAGGGTGTTAGGGTAGGGGACCCTCTGGGTGGAAGAGGGCATTTTTGGGCAAGTATCAAGAACATTCCATTCCCTAGAGCAGGTGAGAAATACCCAAGCACCACTCAGGCTTTGAAATACATCATTTCACTTAGGCTTTGGAGTAACTCTTGTGAAGTTAGTGTACTGATAAACCTCTTTGATACACTGGTTGGCCCAGAGAGGCTAAGCAACTTGATCAGAGCCACAAAGCAAGCAAGGGGTCTGTGCCGACTGGTCTAGTGTTTTGGTTCCATGAAACCATGTGACTTGTGATTAAAACACACAGCTTAGGGATTTTTTCTATTCGGGCTGGAGGCACCCTCAAGGCAGCTGGGGGAGTGGGCGCATCTATAATCTTTGGCAGCTAACACGTGAATGAAGACCGTGCTCTCTTGGGGGCTTCTCTGCCCTTTGAGGGGGGAGGTCCTGCTAGGAGGTCTCCTGCGCCCCATGAGAACATGCTACCTGGAATCTTAACCACCTGACATGTCAAACCCCCCCACCAGGTGACGACTCGATGAGGACCTCACAGCTAAACGTGGGCACCTCCACGGATGTGTCATTGAAGATCACAGAGAGTGACCTGAGCCTGCTGACCGCCAGCATCCGCGCCCCCTCAGGCAATGAGGAGCCCTGCCTATTGAAGCGCCTGCCCAACAGGCACATCGGTGAGCCTGGGGCCCTGGGGAGGGACCTCAGGGGAGGAAAGACCTGAAAGGGGCTGGGAAGGGGTGCTCCGCCAGGCCTAGGGCACCCTGCCTGAGCCCCCACCCCTTTCCACAGGCATCTCCTTCACCCCGAAGGAGGTTGGGGAGCATGTGGTAAGCGTGCGCAAGAGTGGCAAGCATGTCACCAACAGCCCCTTCAAGATCCTGGTGGGGCCATCTGAGATCGGAGATGCCAGCAAGGTGCGGGTCTGGGGCAAGGGCCTGTCCGAGGGACATACCTTCCAGGTGGCAGAGTTCATCGTGGACACTCGCAACGCAGGTGCTTCTTGCCCCAGAAACCTCTTGTTTTGGCTGGTGCTTCTGATAAGGACTTGAACTTTCCTGCCCAGCACCCCCTTAGCCATTGCCTCCTTCCTGAACTTCCTGGCCCAGTCTCTGTTGGGATTCACATTCTGGGGTCCATTTGGGGGAAAGTCTATGTTCCAGGTCATGCCTCTCAAATGTTAAGAGAAAGTTCAGCTCTCCTAAGTTTCTGAGTCTCCCTCATTCACTGGAACCTAAGAGTCCTGCCTGAGGGAATTTTCCATACTGCCCATCCCTGGCTGGCTGGTTCAGGGCATGCTTACCCCTCCTCCGGCAGAGCCAGCTTCCATGAGCGGTTATGTGTGCTGGGTGCCTGGTCCAGACAGAGCCTGTAGGGGCGGGAGGGGAGGGCAGGGTGGCAGGGCCTGAGGGACATGAGTCCTTTGTTTCCGGCCAGGTTATGGGGGCCTGGGGCTGAGTATTGAAGGCCCTAGCAAGGTGGACATCAACTGTGAGGACATGGAAGATGGCACATGCAAAGTCACCTACTGCCCCACTGAGCCTGGCACCTATATCATCAACATCAAATTTGCTGACAAGCACGTGCCTGGTAAGCTTTGGGCCACAGCTGGGCAGAGAGAGGCTGGGAGGCCAGTGGTCTGAGCCATCTGCTCCCCTCGCCTCTCCCCCTCCAGGAAGCCCATTCACTGTGAAGGTTACCGGCGAGGGTCGCATGAAGGAAAGCATCACACGGCGCAGACAGGCACCTTCCATTGCCACCATCGGCAGCACCTGTGACCTCAACCTCAAGATCCCAGGTGTGAGCCGGGAGGAGCCTGGAAGGGCACTGGGGGTGGGGGAGAGGGTGGGGGGGGCCCAGAGCCTACCTCCACGGGGCTCTGTCCTGCCGGCGCCCTCACCTCCACTGCTGTGTCCCACAGGGAACTGGTTCCAAATGGTGTCTGCCCAGGAGCGCCTGACGCGCACCTTCACACGCAGCAGCCACACATACACCCGCACAGAGCGCACCGAGATCAGCAAGACGCGGGGTGGAGAGACCAAGCGTGAGGTGCGGGTGGAGGAGTCCACCCAGGTTGGCGGGGACCCCTTCCCCGCGGTCTTCGGGGACTTCCTGGGCCGGGAGCGCATGGGCTCCTTTGGCGGCATCACCCGGCAGCAGGAGGGTAAGCAGGGTCATGCTGGGCCAGGGTCCTCACAGGGAGGCTGGGCCTCTGTCCCCTGGGACAGGCTGGGGAGGGCATGGGCAACTGGCCAGGGTGTTCTGGGTAGAGAAGGGGGTCTGAGGGAGGGAGGGAGGCAAGGTCCAGGCTGGGAGCAGCCCCAGTGTCACCCTGACCATCCCCACCTCCTGCAGGTGAGGCCAGTTCCCAGGACATGACTGCACAGGTGACCAGCCCATCGGGCAAGATGGAAGCTGCAGAGATTGTGGAGGGAGAAGACAGTGCCTACAGTGTGCGTTTTGTGCCCCAGGAGATGGGGCCCCATACAGTCACTGTCAAGTACCGTGGCCAGCACGTGCCTGGCAGTCCCTTTCAGTTCACTGTGGGGCCACTGGGTGAAGGTGGTGCCCACAAAGTGCGGGCCGGAGGCACAGGACTGGAGCGAGGGGTGGCTGGCGTGCCAGGTGAGGGACAGTGTCCAGGAGAGGGGGTGGGGGTAGGGCAGTGGCAGGATGGGCAATCGTGCTAAAGGACTGCCTCTGCCCTGCTTCCCTGTCCCCAGCTGAATTCAGCATTTGGACCCGAGAAGCGGGTGCTGGAGGCCTGTCTATTGCTGTGGAGGGTCCCAGCAAGGCGGAGATTGCATTTGAGGACCGAAAAGATGGCTCCTGTGGGGTCTCCTATGTTGTCCAGGAACCAGGTGGGTGTCCAGGATGGAGGTGGGGGCTGGGCTTGCCTGACCTTCCAGACTGGGTTTCTGCTCACTGACCAGAGCAGAGAGATGGCTGCAGAACTGCCCCTGCTCTTTCTTTACCCCATCTCCCTCCACCCCACACCCCTGGGAGTGTGCACGGAGCACTCTAGACCCTGAGTCCTGACCCAAGGAGCCTGTCCTGAGAGGCGGTGGGTGGCGTGATCCAGGGGCCTGTGCTGACCACCCTTCTCTCCCCAGGTGACTATGAGGTCTCCATCAAGTTCAATGATGAACACATACCAGACAGTCCCTTTGTGGTGCCTGTGGCCTCCCTCTCAGATGACGCTCGCCGCCTCACCGTCACCAGCCTCCAGGTATGTGCCACGGAATGGAGCCCCTCTGCCATCCTGAGAGAGAGGTAGGAGGTGAAGGCAGGTCCACGTGTCTAGGGGCTTAGCAGTGACCTTGGAAGGGACAGTCAGGCAGATGTCTCTCCCTCTTTCCCAGTATCTGTACAGCAAGGGGGCGCCATGCCTCACCCCAGGATCATCTTCCCACACTCCCACCTCCAATTGTCCATCTTGTGCTTCTTCAAGTCCTCTTCAGTGACTCACCTCCTCCAGGGAGCCTCCCTAGGCCAGTCTAGGCCACATCCTTCCTCCTCTGGGCCTCTGGACACTGACTTGCTTTATGGTGTTTGAGTCTTACCTCCTTAGCCAGGACAGGGCATATCATCTCATCCCCCTCATCCCCCCTCATCCCCCACTGTGCCCAGCACAACCAAGTGAGCCCGCCTCCTAGCAGATGCCAAGGCCAGAGGCCCAGCCCCCACCTCCTCCTCCCATGGCCTTATAGAGAGCTTCCCTGAGCTAGGCCAGCCTGGGGCTGGGGTCAGTCAGGCGGCAGAGAGCAGTGTTCCAGACCCTCCCAGGAGTCTGAGCACCCTCTGTGGCCTCTGCAGGAGACGGGGCTCAAGGTGAACCAGCCGGCGTCCTTTGCGGTGCAGCTGAATGGTGCTCGGGGCGTGATCGATGCGAGGGTGCACACGCCCTCGGGTGCAGTGGAGGAGTGCTACGTCTCTGAGCTGGACAGCGGTGAGCTGGCCCTGGCCTTGCCCACCCATACCAGGCCCTTCTGGGATGGGGAGGGGAAGGACAAAGGCTCACTCACCAACCCTCTGCCCCACAGACAAGCATACCATCCGCTTCATCCCCCATGAGAACGGTGTCCACTCTATTGATGTCAAGTTCAACGGTGCCCACATCCCTGGCAGTCCCTTCAAGATCCGCGTTGGGGAACAGAGCCAGGCTGGGGACCCAGGCTTGGTGTCAGCTTATGGTCCTGGACTTGAGGGAGGCACCACCGGTGAGTGCCTGGGGCGAGGGACGAGGGTCAGACCCGGGCACTCAGCCTCTGGTCCTATACTGTCCTGTCCCAGAGGGCCGAGTCCTTGCAGAGGTCTGCTCTGGGAGTGTGGGGCCTAACCTACAGCCTTGCTACCTCTGGCCCCTAGGCGTGCCATCAGAGTTCATTGTCAACACCCTGAACGCGGGCTCAGGGGCCTTGTCTGTCACCATTGACGGCCCCTCCAAGGTGCAGCTAGACTGTCGGGAGTGTCCTGAGGGCCATGTGGTCACTTATACTCCCATGGCTCCTGGCAACTACCTCATCGCCATCAAGTATGGTGGCCCCCAGCACATCGTGGGCAGCCCCTTCAAGGCCAAAGTCACAGGTGAGTGCACTGGGCAGGGGCCATCCCTCCAGCCCAGCCTGCAGCCCAGCCTGGATGACTCCAGAGGCCATTCACACTCAGTCATAGTCCGACCTAAAATCCACAGACAACTTACCAGGAATACAGTGGGCCTGGCCTTCCACAGCATGCCATCCTGTGGAGCCACAGAGAATCATTTTTGAAAATCACATCCTTCTCTTCACTGTTGTCTGTCACTTGATTACTTTCCCCCAGCAATGGCTCCCAAGCTTTAGCTTAACTTTCTGCCCACACCCACCCCTACCCCTGCCGGTTTCATATGTTTCTGGCTTTCTAGAACACAGAGCTCAGGAAACATTTAGCAAGCTTTCCTTTTGGAAGCAGTGTGAAGGATTAGTGGATATATGTTCCTTTTTAAAGCAAGACTCTTACCCTGGGACTTGAGTTCCCACCTCATGCTGGAGCCAGCAGAGGCCCAGGGGCTTGGGGTGAGCGGGAGCTGGTGTGCACAGCCAGGCACTCTAGGAATGCTGGCTGCTGCCAAGGGGAAGGGATGCGGCCCATGGGCTGCTGGTGCTGGTCCCTGGGCAGCAGACCTCTGACCCTGCTCGTGTTTATCCCACGCTGTCCCTCAGGTCCCCGGCTGTCTGGAGGCCACAGCCTTCATGAAACATCCACGGTTCTGGTAGAAACCGTGACCAAATCCTCCTCCAGCCGTGGCTCCAGCTATAGCTCCATCCCCAAGTTCTCCTCGGATGCCAGCAAGGTGGTGACACGGGGCCCTGGGCTGTCCCAGGCCTTTGTGGGCCAGAAGAACTCCTTCACCGTGGACTGCAGCAAAGCAGGCATGCTGAGGGAGGAGAGGGTGGTTTCCTGGGGGTGGGGAGGTGGGGGGCACCACAGGGCTGTGGGTCCCTGGTGTGAGCCTGCCCCTTCTGTCTCCCCCTCCAGGCACCAACATGATGATGGTGGGCGTGCATGGGCCCAAGACCCCCTGTGAGGAGGTGTACGTGAAGCACATGGGGAACCGGGTGTACAACGTCACCTACACCGTCAAGGAGAAAGGGGACTACATCCTCATTGTCAAGTGGGGTGATGAAAGTGTTCCCGGAAGCCCCTTCAAAGTCAACGTGCCCTGAATCCCTGAAGTGCCTCCCCCAGCCTCAGCCCCCACCTCCGGCCAATGCACTCTCACACACACACGTACCACACCTAGATGCACACGCACACAATCAGATCCCACAAACACCTGCCCTGGGGTGTGAAATGAAGGCCTAGCCTCCCCCCCGCCGCCATGACCCCAGGGGTTGGAGGGCTTTTTCTGTCTCAGGGCAGTGTTCCTCCCGTGAATGTGACACGAGGGTGGGCTGGGGGAGGGTCGAGGCCGGTGGGGAAGCATGTGTTTGGGGGTGTCTGCACGTGTGAGAGAGGTCACCCTCAAACCGCACTGCCGGCCAGACCACCTTACTGCTAAGGACTGTGTGTGGCCCCTCTGGTGGCCATGACCCCAGAGTGTTAAGGACTTGCAAAGAAAGCACAATCGGAGGAGAAAACAGACCCAGGACCAGCAGCAGCGCTGGCGCGTGGCCTGGCCCAGAGCGGTTCACATCGGCCTCAGCCAGGCTTCCTGGAGGACTGCTTTCTTTCTCTCTCTCTCTTCCTCTTTTTTTTTTTTTTTACGGTTGCACAGCTCTGCCCCATGGGGGGGCCTTTTTTACACACTGCGAGGCCCAGCTTTCTGGGGGGACTTTTGCACATGTCATGCGGCTCTGCTGAGAGTCGTGTAAGTGGAAAACTCCAAATAAAGTGTGGCCTGTCGCAGAGGCTTGGCTGTTCTCGTGCTCTCTGTGGGAGGCCATCATGTATTTGGTGAGGTCAGGGATCTCGGTGAAATACCTGAAAGAACCAAGGATTGGTCCTCAGACTCCTAGGGAGCCGGGGGTGGGAGGGGGAGGTGAATGGACACTGTGTTCTGGAACACTGCCCTATGACTGCTGGGAGGCCAGCTCCCCTTGAGCCTGACCTCAAAGACTTTTCAACAAATTAGGTCCTTAAAACGGCACAGACTCAAACAGGAATGTTCCTCACCCAGCAGACAGGCAGAACCCCATGCAAACCCAGGAAACTTCAATCTGGCTAAGTCCAGGGTCAGGTCTGGACCTGCTCTGGCCGCACCAGCAGTTCTGACCTTGCTCAGAGCCCCAACCGAAACCAGCCTCCTAACTCGTCACCCTAGCCCAATCTCTTTCCTTAGCCTTCCTGGCCCACAAACCTCTGAACTCGTCTCCGAGGCCCACAGCCTCTTCAATTAGCTTCCCTGGCCCCTGGCCTCTTAGCTAGTCTCCCTGGCCCACCTGCTTGTGTGTTCTCCCTTACCTGCAAACCTCTGAACTAGTCTCCCGGCCCTCCAGCCACTGACAAGTCCTGAGGCCACTGACTCTTCCCTTAGCCTCTCTGACCCGCCAGCCTCCTCTCATGGCCTCCCCAGCCACCAGCTTCTTATCAAGTCTCCCAGGCCCATAGCCCCTTCCCTTAGCCTCCCTAGTTCACGAGCCTCCTCCCTTAGCCTCCCTGGCCCACCAGCCTCTCAGTCTCCCTAACTGCCAGTCCCTTAACAAGTCCCTTACTTGTAACTAGCCTCCCTAGCCCATGAGCCTCTTCCCCTGGCCTCCCCAGACTACTTCTCTTAGCCTCCCTTGTCCATAAGCCTATTCACTAATCTGCTTCATCTGCATGTCTCTTAACTAGTCTCCCTGACCCATTGGCCTATTAACCAGTCTCCATGGCCCACTGGCCTCTTCCCTAGTCCCTATCCTATCAGCTTTTAAGCTCGACTTTTTGGCCCATCAACATCTAAACTAGTCTCTCTAGCCCACCAGCCTCTTCCCTTACCCACCAAGCTCTTCCCTTGGCCTCCTTGGCTACCAACCTCTGAGCTAGCCTTCTGGGCTCCACAGCCTCTTCCCTTAGACTCTCCGGCCTGCCAGCCTCTAAGCTTCCCTGATTCCTTGGCCTCTGAACTGGGCCCCTAGGCCCACCAGATTCTTAACTAGTCTCCACAGCCAACCAATCTGTTCATTTGCCCTCCTTGGCCTGTCAGCCTCTTAACTAGTCTCCCTGTTCCACCAGTGCTTAACTAGTTTCCCTGGCCCATCAGCCTTTTACTAGCCTCCCTGGCTGACCAGTCACTTCACTTAGCCTCCCTGGTCACCAACCTGTGTACTAGTCTTCCTGGCCCTACAGCCTGGTCACTTAGCCTCCCTGGCCCACTAGCCACTTAACTAGTCTCACTGGGCTGCCAGCCCCTCGCCTTAGCCATCCCGGGCCCACCCTTTACACTGAAGCCTGAGAGGCTCACATTACAGGAACTTGCGTCTCTCTGGCTTGAAGCCCCTCCACAGCTCTCGCCTGTCCCAGGCCAACATCTACTCTTCTAACAAGGCTTCTTAGGCCTCCAGGTTCAAACACCAGCTTCCCCTACCTGTTCATGCAAGGAATCCTGAGTCCTCCGCGTGCTCTCTCCCCACCACGCCCTCCACTCCAAACCCTCACAGCTTCTAGCTTCCGGGGGACCCATGTGGGAGTTTGGGCCACTGTCCAGAAACACCCTTGCCTCTCCACTCTCCTCATCTTCCTGGTCCCCTCCCCACCCCTCCTGGATCTGCCCCACCAGCTCCCGAACTGGGATGTCTGAGGGTACATCTATGCCTGTGTTATTACACAGATCTGTGACCTTGCATCTACAGACTCTCCTCCCCACGAGCCTGAGTTCCCTGACCCTGGAAGGCCTAATACAGGCAGGTGTGACAAATGAGTAACTCAGTAGCCAGCGCAGGGCAAAGAAGCATTTCACTCAATTGATCTCCCACCTCTAGACCTGTCCCGGACATTTCAGCACATAGTGGTGGGCCAGCCAGAGAAGACCCAACACATATGGCCCAGCTCTGAACCACCTTCCTCACCTCCTTACTCAGTAGCCTATCTCCCTCCTCGATCCTTATCAAGTTTCTTCTTTCCTTTCCCCCTCCTTGCTCTGAATCCTGCCCTCTTAAGATTCCTCCAGAGCCTCTTTATTTTTTTAAAGTTTATTTATTTATTTTGAGAAAGACAGAGAGAGAGTGCACACATGCAGGAGGGGAGGAGGTGGGGTGTGTGTGTGGGAAGAATCCTAAGCTCCTAAGCAGACTCTACACAGCCAGTGCAGAGCATGATGCAGGGTTCGAACCCACGAACCGCTAGACTATGCCCGAGCTGAAATCAACAATCAGACACTGAACTGACTGAGCCACCCAGGCGCCCACCAAGACCTTCTTTATTGTGTGTTTGACCTCCTCTCCATATTTTTCACCCTCCCCTCCATCCTACAGGGAGCCCCTTGAGAACAGAAATCATATTTTATCAATCTTGCGTCCTCAGCCTCCTCATGGCCGCATTTGATAAACGCTGTTTGAATGAATGAGTGTTTGATGAATGTATCTAGCTCCTTAACTTTACCGGTTAAAACCACTGAAGGCAGGGTCCATTCTCTTAAGTACCCAACCATTTGTGACCGTTCTGTGCCAGGCACTAACCCGGGTGCTTCTACGCACATCCTTCCTCATTCTCTGCCCTCCCTCCCCACTCACCCCAGATGTGAGCACTTCCCTGGATGGCCTGCTGGCCTCCTTCTCAGCATCAGCTGCCTTCCACCTGTGTGTCTATAGGCGTCCAGCTGCTCTTCCCCAGTACGGCCCTGGGCGCCAAGCATTTATGGGCTCTATCTCACTTAAGCTTAACAGCCCTATCAGATGGGCATACTTTATTTGAAGAACTCAAGGTCTTGAGAATTTTGGTGATAAATCCAAAAATCATGCCTCTAAGTAGCAGGGCTAAGATTCAAACCAGGTGTGCCCAAATCCCAAGCCAATCATACAAATAACCACTAGACGAGACCATCTGGAGCTTCCAAGCCCTCTAAATTCACAAGCCACAGGCTGAACACCAGGATGCCTGTTTGTTAAAATGGAGGAGGAAATGGGGCGCCCGGGTGGCTTAGTCGGTTAGGCGTCCGACTTTCGCTCAGGTCTTGATCTCGCGGTTCGTGGGTTCGGGCGCCGCGTCGGGCTCTGTGCTGACTGCCAGCTCAGAGCCTGGAGCCTGTTTCAGTCTGTTACTCCCTCTCTCTCTGACCCTCCCCTGCTCATGCTGTCTCTCTCTCTCTCCTAGAAGTAAATAAAACATTAAAAAAAAAAAAATGGAGGAGGAAAGCTGGACCTTTCCTTTTCAGTCTGTATTCCATCCAGAGCTCACTCTCTCTGGAAAGTTACTGCTACCCGCCCAGTTGCAATGGCCAGAAACCTGAGAGTCACCTGGATCTCTCTCTCTCACTCCCCAAACACATCCAGTCTGAAAACCAGTTTTGTCCATTCTGTCTCTAAATAAGTATCTCTTGACTCCATCTCCTTCTCCACCGCTCCACATATCTCTTACCACAGTGGTATGCACACAGCCCCGGGACAGCACAAGCTCTAGAACTCATACCTCATGACATCATTTTCCAGTCGCTTCAGGATAGTTTGTCCTCAGGATAACTTCCAGATTCTTTAACTCTTTTTTAGGGCACTTACGCTCTCTAGTCACTAAACCTTTGCATATGCTGTTCCTCTTTCCTAGAACACTCTCTTGTCCTTATTTCTCTCCCCTGAATCCTTCTGGCGACCCTCTTTGAGCACTCTTCCCCCATCGCTCTATGGTCAGTTACCCCTACAGTGGATGCTTCATGTCCTTCTCACATTTTAGCAATTAACAAACCGCTTTGTAATTGCCTGTTCACTAGTCAGTGTCCCCATTAACTTGTTCAATCTTTTATTTACGAAACAAATACGTACTAGTTGTTAACCATGTGCCATAGTTAATACTTACACACACGATACAGGCTCGGACCTTACCCTTGAGAACAGAACCTACATCTTTTCTTCCGAGGTCTCAGGGTCTGACAGCGCTGGGTTTAACTGGTTTATTGAACAAGCGATGGAACGCGCCAGCGTGAGTCCGTGGTGCCGCACGCACTTCTGGGAATCGTAGTCCCCAGGTTCGGGGCCTCGCTTTACAGCGCAGGCGTATTCAGATTGAGGCCGTGTTACTAATAATGCGCATGTCTCGGGAGGAGACGTGCTGAACCGCGCATGTCTAAAGGGTGGAGGTGCGGTCATAAAGGCCGTGCGCTGCGGAGGTGGGGCTTCGGGGACTTGAGGTTGTCGCCGCTGAGCCCTACCTGTCTTCGAGAATGGCTGGTAGGGGGAAGCTAATTGCGGTGATCGGAGACGAGGACACAGTTACTGGCTTCCTCCTGGGCGGCATAGGGGAGCTTAACAAGAACCGCCACCCTAATTTCCTGGTGGTGGAGAAGGATACAACCATCAATGAGATCGAAGACACTTTCCGGTACGGTAGCCCTCGAGGCCCGAATGGGTCCCTCTGCTTTGGGTCGGAGCGTGGGGAATAGGCGGTGGTAGCGCGGAGACCCAGCCTTCGGGGTCTGAGAGGGGCTTCCAGACCCTGACCTCGAGGATCAAGGAAGTCTGCCCCGCCGCCCTTCCGGAGGAGGCCTCTGTGCCCCAAGTTCTCTTTTGGGGTACCGGGGGACCCGGACTGTGTCAGATCCACGAGCTCATCCGTCATATGACTGTGTGTCAGGAAAGAAGGGGAACGGAGCTCGTGACGGGCACCGCCCCTCGGCCCATCCGGCCCCTGGGACCTGTCTCAGCCCCGCCCCCGTTCACCCATAGAGCTGGCTGCCAGCATTGCTAGCTCTCAGCTCTTTGGGGAGCTGACCCCTAAGGGAACCACACACTGAGCGAACACCTAGGCGGTGGGTCGGGCTTTCTCGTATATTCATGTCCCTTAGAGGCTCACAATCATCCTTTAAGGTAGGGGTTATTATCCCCACTTACAAGTGGGAAAACTAGAGCTCACAGAGGTTAAGGCACATACCAAAGTTACACCACTTGGGAGAGAGGGAGTGGGGATTTGAACCCAGGCCCAACTCTCTTAAGCCAGGTCCAACTCTTCAGTCTTGGAATTTCCCATTGTCCTGAGCATAACCGGCAGAATATTAGGACTGTATCCTACTTTGTGCTAAGACCTTGCCCTCCCCCCTTTTTTAACCAAAAAGGAAGAAAAACTTTATTTGCATATGACAAGTACAGAGAATATAATTAAGATTCTTTTAAAAAAGCCACCAGAATAAGTGCATTTAGCAAAAAGACCTCGCGTTTGAAGTCCTCATTTCCTGTCCTGGGTCAAGAGTGATAGCTTCATAGTGTGGATGCAGGCATGTCCCTTAACTCAGGAGTTGCCCTGGTGACTTGAAATGAGGATGCCAGCCCCCTGTGTCTTCTCACCCCTTCTCTAAGGCCCCTGGTGCCAAGTCTCAGTAACAAACCACTCTCACCTGTTTTCCCCTAAACAGTCCAGCCATGAGCTGCTGGCTGAGACTAGTTCCTGCTGCCTAGGGATGATAGGCCTGAACTGGCCTGATCGCTAAGCATTCTGGTAAAGTGACCCAAGTTGTCATGGGAGAAGGACAGATTTTACTCCAGGACCATTCCATGTTTCCATCCAAAGAGACCCAGAGATCGTCAAGTCTAACCGGCCCTAGCGCCTGGCACAGAGCAGGTGCTCAGTAAAAATAATTTTATATATAGATGTATGGGTTTTTTTAATGTTTGTTTATTTCGAGAGAGAGGGAGCATGTGCCAGTGTGTGAGCAGGGGAGAGGAGGAGAGAGAGAGAGAGAGAGAGAATCCGAAGCAGGCCCTGCACTGTCAGCGCAGAGCACAACGCAGGGCTCCATCCCACAAACCGTGAGATCATGACTTGAACTGAAACCGAGAATCAGATGCTTAACCAACTGAGCTACCCAGGCGCCCCAATAGTTTTTAATATATTAAATAATGCCTGGGTGACTACAAGAAAGGAAGATCCTAGTGCTAGGTCCTTTCTGTGGGGGAAGTATGGTTTTCCTCTTTGTGTGTTGTATTGGCTCATGTATTTGGCCCATGCCAAACTTCAGTATAGACCTTGAGGCCTTTAGTGGTCTCTTCAGCCCCTTTAGAGAAATTGTTTTCCTTTGAAAAGTTAAGGTATTCATGGGGTTTGCAAATTAATATTTCAAAGTTATACATATTGAGAAGTCTCACTCCCACCCGTCTTTTTCCACTTCATTACCTCCCTCCTCCACCCCTGAAAGCACTTAATTCCTTACTTATCTTTCTGCTTTTTCTTTATGCACATACAAGGGGCAGACATATATATTCTTATTCTCTCTCTTTTTCACGTAAGCGCAGCGAGCAGATCACATCAGCATGTGCCCTGATCTTGAGCACCAGCTCACTTGGGAGCCTTCCAAGCAGGGGAGGTGGAAGCCAACCCTGACAGCCAGGGCCCTTAGACTCTGAGTGAAGTTGGTTCTGGTTAGAATGGAGAGAGCTCAGTCTAGCAGCCTTTGCCCTTGCCCTCTGCACGCGCCGGGTCAAGCACATTTGCCTCCGCAGCCCAGCCTCACCTCCTTGGAGCGGGCTGCCCTGGACTCCCTTCTCATTTCTCCCAACAGGCAGTTTCTAAACCGGGATGACATCGGCATTATTCTCATCAACCAGTATATCGCAGAGATGGTGCGGCACGCGCTCGATGCCCACCAGCGCTCCATCCCGGCTGTTCTGGAGATCCCGTCCAAGGAGCACCCCTACGATGCCGCCAAGGACTCGATCCTGCGCCGGGCCAGGGGCATGTTCACGGCCGAAGACCTGCGCTAGGGCCTTCTCACAGCCAGGCAGCATCTCCCCCAGCTTGCCCTCGGTCCTCTAAGTTTTGAGCCTCTGATTTCCAAGTCCCTGTCCCTTCCCACTGCATTGAGAGGCCAGGTGAGGTGCTTCTGGGTTGCTGGGGACTCTGCCATTAAAGTCAAGGCTGGTTAGGGAACAGGAAGCCTGAGTGTCTTCTCTCCACTACCTCTTCCCTGTGCTGTCACTCGGTGTCACTGTTGATGTTAAATTAAAGTAATGTTATTGCTTCGCTCTAAGCTGAGGCTGGGTGCTAGACAGGACACGCGTGGGACAAGGCTGTCGGGGAGATTCGATTGGCAGGGCTGGGAAAGGTTCTGCCAAAGATATAGGCGTAGAAAAGTTGGACCAGGTAGATGGTTCCCGGAAGTCATAACTCAGGGACGGGTCCTCTGAATCAACAGTGACCTGGTCTGGTGGGGAGGGACAGGAGGAGGCTGGTGTACAGGCCTCTGGCTCCCCGACTTCGGTCTCTATTGGGCTGGGAAGGGACCTGACCCCAAGGGCTGGGAGCAGAAACGCAGGAAACCTAAAGGCCTGTGATACGAGACTGGCCCTGGATCCTGCAAGAGGTTTGGGGATCAAGGGCTTTTGCCAGCGGGCCCCGGCCTGAGGCCGCGTGTGGATCAAGGCACGTGAGGTCTGCTAAGGCCATGGCAAGTAGAACCCTGGCCCTGTGTGAGGTGAGGCCTGGTTGCCAGGTGACTGTCCGTGGCAGCCACCTGCTGTCAGAAGGACTCTGCTTGCTGTGCTCACCCCTCAGCTGCAGCCGCCCCGATACCTGTCCTGCCCTTGCTACCATGTCGCGGCAACTCAACATGGATACGCTGCGGCAGAACTTCTGGAAGGAGGAATATCTGCGGGAGAAGATGTTGCGCTGTGAATGGCACCACAAGTACGGGTCGATGGTGAAGGCCAAGCAGAAGGCTAAGGCTGCAACCCGCCTACCCCTCACACTGCCCACCCTGCACCCCAAAGCCCCACGCTCACCCCCACCTGCCCCCAAAGCGGTGCCTTCCAAGGGCCCCAGCCCTCCCCCGGAGACGCCTATTCAGTCAGAAATGTATCCAGTACTGCCCGCCACCCGGGCCCTGCTGTATGAAGGCATCTCCCACGACTTCCAGGGGCGCTACCGCTACCTCAACACCCGAAAACTGGACATGCCAGAGATGCGCTACCTCTTCCCCATCACCACCAACTTCACGTACGGCTGGCAGCTGGGTGAGCCCCAACCTCCCAGCACTCACTCACTTCACAAACCCGGGGCTCCTGCCACACGCCAGGCCATGCTGTTGGCACTAGGCACACAGGACGTGCGGGTGGGGGTGTCCATTCTAGCGGGGGGTCCAGGCCATAAACATAAGACAAAGGAAACATCTGAGAGGGCCAAGTTCCACGATGAGACTAGGGAGCGATGGGGGCGAGGGGCAGGGGGCATGAGACGTTTTAGATGGGATTGTCAGGAAAGGCCTCTCTGAGGACCCACCTAAAGGCTGGAAGCTAAGTGACACAGTGGAGGAATCTGGATTTTATTCCAAGTGGGAGAGGTAGCCATTGAGAGTTTTAACTGCTTGTGAATGGTGCTGGTAGGACACTATTCTGTAAGTAGTGGCTTTGTTCAGAGAAAGAGCTCTGGCAGACGAGGCCTGCATCTGAGTTATCCTGGGAGGGAGGAGGATGGCTTGGGCCAGGGTGATCAGCGGTAGAGCTGAGGTAGATTCAGGCTCTGTTTTGGAGGAAGAATCTCTGAAGCCTGCTGATGGACTGAATGACAGAAGGGGAAAGAGAGCCACGGGGAAGTCCAGGTGTTTGGCTCAGGCCGCTGGACAGGGAAGACAGAGAGGAGTGGGGCTGGGGTATGTGTGAGGACAGAGCAGCCCTGGCCATGCTGGAGGTGTCGGTGAAGTGGCTGTACGCAAGTCCCCTCGAGTGAGGCCAGAGCTGAAGGTGCATATTAGGGGATCGTCAGAATATAGGTGCTACTTAAAGCCTGAGGTTGGGTAAGCTCGTCCAGGGATCTCCAGATGCTGGAATCTGATAGGAGAGGTCAGGGGCACAGAGAAGGGTTGGGGAGTGTGTGTGTGTGTGTGTGTGTGTGTGACGGTTTTGGCGGTAAGGCTCATCCATCTGGACTGAGTCTGCCTTTTCTGGGAGGCTGAGTCAAGGGTCCCCATTGGGAAAGGAGGGTGGGGAGGCAGTGGTGTAGTTGAGGATGAAGTTAGGGCTTGGGAAAGGGAACACGCCAGGGAGCGTTGTGGGATTGCTGGGTGACGCCGTGTCCCTTTGCTCTGTGGTCATGAATTTCAAGTGAGACTACTCAGTAATGGGTTTTTCTCCACAGGTTTGAATGCCATCCATAGGTGGATGGTTGGGATAAACACAGTTGACGTTTTGCCTAAAAATTACCCCCACTGTCCCCGGGGTGCTAAAGGGAGAGGAAATAACTTTCCAACAAAAGCAGGAAGCAAGTCCCAGGGGAACAGGAAGTAGAAGGAAGCCCTGTCTCTCCCAGAGATGTCTAACTCTGTCTGTCCCTGTGACAGGCCTTGCTGGGTGTCCCACCAGCCGCTCTGTGGAAGAGCCTGAGGTGGGGGAAATGAAGGCATATGCTGACTGGCTGGTTCTGCCTGGCTGCTGATCTGGGCACCAGCAGGCTCCTTAATTTGCCCAAGGCCCCCATTAGTCAGAAGCACTTTTTATTCCTTCACAAAGGATACAAAGTGGATACAATACAGGCAGATTCCTAGGGCTCTGAAGGCAGGGCTCCCATGCTGCGGTCAAGTTCCCTTTCCCAGAACCCATTTCTGGCCTCTGGCATCTTTTTCCAGGACCCCCGGTGAAGCAAGAACTGGTCTCCTGTAAGATGTGCCGCATCGAATCATTCTTCCGAAAGAATGGGGCCTTCACGGTGCTGGACCCCCGTGATCTGGCTCTCTGACCTTGGCCTGGCAGTGGAGTTAGGGGAGGGCAGAAGAAATAACAGGCCTCCTCGCGGGGCTGAACTGCTGTGTGTGTGTTTCTGGCCCTCCCAGGCCCGAGACCGTGTTCTGGGCCTTTCTTGGAACTACCTCTAGCCTGCAGTTGGTTTTTCTTTCATCCCCATCTCTTTAATCATCCCTTTGAGGATTCAGCAATGACTAGAGGGGGCTGGGAAGGACGAGGGCTCCTCTCCTGGGAAAGGGACCTCAGTGCGAGGCCGCCACAGTAGCTGCTGGAAGTTCTGAGTGTTCCTGGAAGAGAGTGGCCGGTCATCCCAGATGGCAGAGAAGGGGAACCATTATCGCCCCTTAAGCCTCCACGCCCTCCCCCTCACCTGGCCCCGAGGGCCCGCAGCCGCCCGGTCCTCTCCCGGTGCACTTGTTGCAGCTGCTGCCGCAGGGCGCGACGCTGCCCCGCCGCATCCTCCTGGGGTGGTGTAGAGCGATGAGCGCCCCCGGCCTTGGACCCCGCGGGCTTGATGGAGCCAGCAGGGGGCAGCACCCGGACTGACACCCCCTCCCCGCCCTCCATCTGGGTCGGGGCAAGTGTGCTAGGCACGCACTCCAGAGGGACCCAGGGGGCGCCCAGCTTGGACCCAGCCCGCCCCTCCCCCACCCCCGCCCAGGCCCGGAATGTGGTGGCGCCACCGCCTTCTCCTGGGAGCCTTGCCTGTGGCGGGAGCTGAGCTAGGTTGGGTGAGGGCCCCAGAGGGTGCACCCGGCAGTGGCGGTTCCTGGCGATGCGGAGGCATTCCCAGACCTGGGCGGGGGGAGACGGCTGTCAGCGGCCGGCCGCCCCTCGCCCCTCGCGTCCCGCCCGCCCCAGGCCGGCCCGGCAGCTGCGGAGACGCACGCGGAGACGCTGTTGCTCGCGATCCTGCCGCCGCCGGCGCCTGGCCGCGCGGTGCAGCTCCAGCAGCCTCTGCAGAGCGGTCTCCTGCTGCGCTGCGCTCACGCCCGCCGACGCCTCCTCCCTGCCTCGGGGCCGGGGCCACGCGGCCTTCGAGGCCTCGGGGGCCTCCACGTCGCCCCTCGGCTCCCCGACGGCACCCGGCATCTGCTCCGCCGGGCCAGGGCTTGCTTCCGGGTCCTGAAGCCCGTGCGGGTCGCCCACCGGCCCTGAGTGCTCGGGGGGAGCTGCGGGGCGCTCCTGCCGCCCGGAGCCCCCTCCAGCGCTTGGGGCCGCTAGCGTCTCGGTCCCCGGGCTTGGGAGCGGCGGCCGGGTCGGGGGCTTCGGGGGTGGAAGGGGAGTGCGTACCCGCTCGCCGGCGGCGCTCTGCCCTCCCGTGCCCGGTGCCGACTCTCGCCGCTGGCTGGTCCTTTTCCCGGAGCCAGCGCTCTCCCTACCTCTGGGCTGCGGAATCTGTTCTCCCAGGGCCCTGCAGAAATCCCTAGACGTTCCCAGGGAGCCGCCTTCCTCTGGGGGCTGTGTGGGCACCTCTTCCTCAGCCACTTCCCAGTTCGGGCCTGGGGAAGCCCGAAGGGTCTTCACTTCCTGGCCCTGAGGAGGAGTCCACTCTCTCGACTCCTGGAGAGCCTTCTTTCTCTGGCACTTAGGGCCATTTCCTCTTTGACCTTGAGGAGACTCTCTCCTCACACTCTGGGGAGGCGCACACCAGGGATACTCAGAGACCTCCTCTCTCAGAGCACCAGCGGCCTCCCCACTCTCACCCTGGTGTGTCTTCTCTCTCTGTCTCTCAGGAACTTCTTTGTTCTCCCCCAGGGGGGCTTCCCCTCTCTGACCCCGGGGGCTCTCTCCTTTCTGCTCCCGAGGGTCCCCCTCTTTCTGCCTCAGAGGAATCTCAATTCCCAGCAGTTTCTGAAGTTCTGCTCTCTCCTGGCGCAGGCTCCAGCCCAGCCCCTCCAGGGGAACTTGGGTTTCCGGCAGGCCCTGGGAGGGCAGGCCTGAGGGCCATGGGGCTCCCTGAGTGAGCTTTCTACCACATACATTCGTGGATGGCTGTCCATTGGGCCTCTGGGTTGTGGGTCCTGCGGGTCTCCTCTCTTCCCTCTGCGCCAGGTTCTGAGAAGCAAAAGCATTTGGGCCCAGGCTTGTGAGGGAATCCCCCTGCCAGGCCCACTTCCCCCAAGGGACCCTGGGGACCTCAGTGGCTGTCCCAGTGGGCATCACTTCCATTACAGCCCTTCCCTGATTCCTGAATTCGTTAAGCCTTTTTTATGTAGGGTTGAAATGTACTTCAGTGAGGTCCATTCCTCCCCCTGGCTGTAGGAGGTAGCACCACCGCCCCCCAGTAGGCTCCCCCCAGGCAGACCCCACGCCTGCTGTTCCCAAGCTGAGAGGGCCCTTGCCCAGGACATTTGACTCTTTCACCTTGAACTCAGAACCTCCTGGGTCCCCAAAGCTACTGCTGGTGGCGGGGTTCGGCCCTCGCAGGCAACCTGAAGGAGAAAGACCAATGTCGGGAACTCTCTGCTCAGGTCCCAGCCCCTCACATTCCACCTGAACTGGAACTGGGAAGCCTTCCCCAGCACACAAGGGGAAGGGGATGCCCTGAGGACTGATTGAACTCCAAGGCTGTCACAGTTCACGGGTCCACCCTTCTTCACATTGCCTGTTGCGTGCCCGCCTGTCGGATTTGTCCGCCAGCAAGCAGCCCACCACATCTTCCTCACCCTCCCAGCGGAGGCAGGGCACTTCAGAGGCATGGCACATGCTGTCCCCAAAACCACCAGGAGAGGCCTGGGGGCAGGAAGGGTGTGTCAGCCAGGCTTGTCAGGCCCACATAGAACACCTCCCCCTTCATCCTGGTAGAGCCTCGGCCCATAAAGAAACCCCCTGTATACACCTTATTTTACTATTAGTAAGAAAAACCCTCTTTAGCTCCTTCTTGATTGCTGACAGTAAAATCAAATGAAACTCAACAAATGACATTTTAGGCTGAAGCCTGGCCTAAAAACTGCAAGTTTCATGATTAACAAAAGAAATCGAAAGAAGTGAACTGTCACTGCTCCCTTGCAACTGTGGAGGAAGGAGAGTCATTCTGCCTCCCATAAAACTGGTTAAAAGAACTTGATTTCGTAAGGTCCTAAATGGAGAACTTTTAAGTTAATTCCATCTTTATGAATATTCACATGTCCACACTGCATAACAGTAACCAAATAGGTATATTCTCTGCGAAAAGAAATGTCTTTTGAAGAATTTTTGAACAAAGGAGGCTGTAACAAGACTCCCTGGTCTTTAGAAATGACTGTCATGGGTGCGCCTGGGTAGCTCAGTCTGTTAAGTGTCTGACTTTGACTCAGGTCATGATCTCATGGTTCATGGGTTTGAGCCCTGTGTCCGGCTCTGTGCTGACAGCTCAGAGCCTGAAGCCTGCTTCCAATTCTGTGTGTGTGTGTGTGTGTGTGTGTGTGTCTGCTCCTCCTCAACTCGCTCATGCGCTCTCTCTCTCTCTCTCAAAAATAAACATTAAAAAAAAAAAAAGATTGCCATGAACAGGGAACACAACCCCCAAACCCTGTCCCCTCACAGTTTTCATCTGTTGTCTTACTAGATAATTTGTCTCTCTGGTTATAATATTGTAATTAATATCTCTCTTTCCCCAAGAGATCTTCTGTTTATAAAACTTTCTGTCAGTCAGACAAACAACCATTGGAACTTGGCTCTTCTCTCCTGTGCACGACAGAACAATTAAAAGCTTAATGCTTAACTGTGTTAATTTAACAAATAACTGGAGAGTCTGTTTCATTTAAATTAATAGGCCCAGAGTTCACAGCATCCATCCCATAGAATTCTAATTGCCCATTTACTGTCATACTCTCACTAGGCTGTGCTCTCCTCAGAGACAGGGACCAAGTATTGGGGCCCCCAAGTCTCTCTTGTGTTCTGTATATTCAGGGGCCTGGTGCGAGGGTAGCAGATAGGTGGCAGGAGCTTCTAGTCCCTTCCCTCCTCACTAGGCTGCCATGGACAGTCCTCCCCAGGACACTCTCCCTGAGCCCCAGTTTAGCTTCAGAATCCTCCCGGACCCTGTGCCTGGGGCAGCTAGTACCAGTCAGGTAGAACGGGGACATAAAATAAAACCTGCTTGTCGTCCTTGGGTGCTCCTGGCACCCAATATACAGTATGAGACGAAGAATGAGTGGGGAGGCGACTGGAATCCTGGCACTTGGAAGGAGGACATCCCGCCTAGTCTGGCCGCCCTGCCAGGGTGTCAGCGTACCAGGTGTGGGTGCTGCAGGTAGAGCAGGGCTCGCCCACCTTGGGTCTCTGTCCCTCGCAGCTTCACCCAGATCCAGGGCTGATGATGGGTCTACTGCCAGCCCCCTGCAGGAGCACAGAGGCTGCCTCAGATACGCCTCTTGTGGCCCATGGGCTCTGGAGGGAGGAGGCAGCTCGTCTCCAGTCTCCCCACCCCAGTCCAGGGCAGCCTCTCCCAGCCCCTGCACCCACCACTGGATCCCAGGAGCTGGAACTCAGGGGGAACCCTTTCTAGGGGCTGTGGGAGCAACCATTCGGGAGCATCTGAGTGAGAGCCCCAGGATGAGCCTTGGGCACAAGAAAGAGGCACTAGGCAGGGCTGTGGAAGGAGATAGGAAAAAGGGGCCAGTGCCTGGCCCTTTTGTGTGGCAACCCGAAACAGGCTTTCCCAAGAGAAAGACTCACCCCTCAGGAGGCCGATGGTTCTGGCTCAGGGAGTCCCCAGCCGGGGGCAATGGACACGGCCTAGAACTCTGGAAAGGTAGAGGGTGCCCCAGTCTACAGGGCATCCTTCCCCAGTGTGGTAGGCAGCCTTTAAGGTGGCCCCCAATGACCCCTCCTCCTGGTATCCATGCCCCCGTATGGCCCTGTCCTCTGCCCCTCCTTGGGAGGAAATGGAACCCTCCTGCCCACTCGGGCCTTCAGATGAGACCGTGGCCCTGACCAACAATGTCAGCTGGACACTTCCTTAGCAGTCACCACAAACACCCCCCTCTTGCCACAGCTGAGGATGCCTGAGCTCTCAGACAGGGCTGTCAACTTGCCCAGAGTGCCGTGGACAACTGGTGACTGGGAATCAGACTAGGAGGCACGGTCCTAGTTCCCAGTCACCATAGCACCTTCCCTCCTAGAGAGGTCAGCCCAGCCACCAGCCCCGGAGGGAAGGGTCTGTGTACCCTGGGCCAAGCATTGGTGCCTTGGCCCTCAGGAGCTGTGCCAGGCTTGCGTGCCTCCGATGCTGCTGCCATGGCTACAGGCTTCGAGATGTCACCGCACAACTGATTTGACCAAGATGTTAATTGCAGGATGGCAATAGCAGCCTGTATGTAAGGAACAGACCCTGTGCACTGGGCACAGTGCTAAATCCTTTCCACAAATGAGCTCACTGGTGCTCCCTCTGAGTAAGATCTACTATCTTCCCCATTTTACAGCTGAGAAAACAGAGGCTTACAGTCCATAGGGAGCATCAAACCGGAGACCCAACCCAGGCCCATGTGTGTCCAAAGCCCATACCCCTTCCCCTTCCCTCCCAACCACAATCACCTCGATGTCACACTGACCCCATTGCCTTCAGCCATGCCCTTGCTCACCCAACTGGTCAGCTGCTCAGAGCCCCTACCCCTCCTACCACGGGGCTTGCCGTAATGGCTCCATGCACACTGGGCCTGGTCCTTCAGCCCGTGGAACTGGGCCCGGGGGGGCCAGAAGAGGCTCAGCCCTGCCCCAGCCAGCAGCTCCAAGTCCCACAGGAGCTGCAAAAAGACGCACTGCCAGGGTAACGAAGCAGTGCTCACCCTGCCCCCTGCCACGCCACTCAGCCAACCCCTACCTGTTCCTGGGCCCGCCGGGTCCGCTCCATCGCCAGCAACACAGCAGGCAGCTCCAGTCCCAAGGGACAGGCCCGGCTCTCTTGCACCTGGGGGGGAAACGAAATGGCATCAGGCCTCTACTCTGCCTGTTAGAGACGATGCCCCACCTCCCTCACCTGCTGCAGGGCAGCCTGGAGCTGGCCCAGGCCCGCAGGGCATCTGAAGAGGTGCAGGTACAGAGCCAAGGCCTGCTTGGGGCTACAAGGGAGCCCTGGGTCCCCAGGTATGGCTGCCTGCTCCATGGAGTTGGGGAGCCAGGGCCGGTGTCCCCTCCCTCCTCTCCTCTGCTGCTGAGCCTGGAGAAGGGAGGACCAGGAATGAGGAGGAGACAAAGGCTCCTGAGCTCAATAATGCATAGACCTGACATCTGAGCCAGGGCCCGGACCGCAGCCAAGTCTCCGAGAGACTCTGGCCCGCCTCTGAGCGGGGTTCCTTGGCTGCAGGGGATGGCAGTGCTGGGGAGAGGCATGTGCACATGCCTGTTTGCAATCCAGAAAGAGTATGTATTTTATGTATACGTATGACGCTTGCAAGTGCATCCTATCAGCGTGTAACATGCCCAACACAAACAGCAGCTGCCAACAGCTCACTTACTCCATGCAGGAAACAAAATGCGACCTGCGTGTAATCCATTCTGGAGGCAACTCTGAGAAGTGGGTGCTATCATTATCACCCCAATTTTACAGATTAGAAGACGGCCTAGACAGTAAAGCACTCTAGCTAACATGTGGCAATGTCCCTTCCTCTGGAGGCAAATGCCCATGCAAGCAGCCATGGGCAAGACAATGGTGAGCAGGACAGGGGCTTGCTCCAAGCCGACCCCTTGCAAAGTGCCGGCCACAGGTCACCCTGTTTACTCCTCCTCAGGACACGTAAGATACAGCAGATGAGAACACAGCTTGTACAGGTTATAATGAGGGGAGGTACAAACCGTAAGTTTCACACCCCCTGCTGCCAGGAGCAGCCTTGCCTGTGGCTTTGTGACCCCTCCGTGAGAGAAAGAGGCCACCTCTCCCAGGTGGGCCTCAGCAGAAGTGGGCTGAGCTCGCAGGGCAGGAGATCTCAGTTCAGCCCAACACTCTCTCTTCACTCCTGCTGAAAGATTAGGGACCTGGCAATGAGAATGGAGTACCCCCCCACACCCCAATCTTTTAGCCCAGGTGCCTAAAACACCAAGGTCACAACCAATAGGTGGCAAAAACAGAGTTTTTTTTGAAAAGAGACTTTTCAATGAAATAGGCTTTTTGTCTATTTCAAAACCCATGTTCTTTCCCCTACAAGATGTCCCCTGTTCACGTGTCCATCCAGGGTGGGTGTGGCTGTGAATGCACACATGGGTCTGTGCATGTGCTGCACACATTTATATATGTGTTTCTGAGGGGTGTGTGTGTGTGTCTGTGTGTGCATGCATGCATATGTGTCCATATTTCGTCACAGTCTATTGTGTCTCCTGTTCCCCACCCCAGGCATGGGGGTCCCTATGTCACCAGCTGTTAGAAGTGCCTAGCCTTTGGTGTCCCCCAAATCAGGAGGAAAGGGAAAGCTGTGTGGAGAAACTGACCCCCTTCTCTGTACTCCTCAGCCCCCTAGGATTCCACAGGGATCCACAGAGGTACCAATGTGGGGACCCTGGGCTACGCCTGTGACATAGTGTGAGCACAGAGCTGGGACCAGGATACTCAGGTGCTCCTTCCGTCCATTGCAGGGTTTCCCAGGTAACACCAGGGTTGGCAGGTGGGGGCAGCCCAGGCAGGTACAAGAAGTGAGGGCTCAGCTCCCACAGCTGCCACCTTTCTGATTCTGGGGATGCTGACCACTGCACCCCATGTTGCAAGCAGCCACCATCCCAGCACCAGGAGAAAACACACATACACACAAGCTGTAGGAGAGGCCCCACTTTTACTGCTTCTGATTGAACATGGGGAAGTCTTTGTGGGACATGGGCCCGGGCTCCCACCAGTGCCTGGGTGGGGCACTCTTTCCGTGGCTCCGGTCAGGGTGGGAGCTGTTCTTGGAGGGGAGGCTTCTGACCTGATGAGTCCTGGTGGCATCCTGGCTCAGGGTGCCCCCTGGGACTACTGGCCAGGGCTGGGCAGAGGTCTGGGTGGCTGGTCCCCAGTGAGCTGGACTGGGGGGCAGGCCTCGGGGGAGATACAGTGGGCTTCATGCTCCACCAGGCCTGCCGGGCACTGGCAGCCAGGAACGCAGGGCCTCACACAGTGGGCGGCCAGCTCCCCCAGGGGGATGTGCTGGTTGAAGCAGGTGCGGGGACAGGGCGGGCCACATTCATCGAACACGAAGCCGCGGTCCAGGGGACAGCCCACCACTGCAGGGGGAGTGGAAGGCAGAGTCACAGGGGCACCTGGGAAGTGCTCAAGGGGCCCTGCTCACCCCTGCAGCCCTCCCTGACCCTACCGCAGCCACACCTGAGCCCTCTGTGCCTCCCTCTTCCCCAACTCGCACTGGGCATTGCCCCCTCACCGCAGAGTGTGGGGCCCCGCCAGGCAGGCGTTACCCCTGCCTGGCGACAGTGGCTGGCATAGGCTTCCAGGGCATCACAGAGGCAGGCATCAGCCAAAGAGCCAGGGCCACAAGCGCATAGGTCATACACGCAGGCGGCAAAGAAGGGCTCTGGTGGCACCACGGTGTGGCAGCGACTGAACAGGGAGGACTTCAGCACCCCACACCGGGCATTGGCCTCACGCCGAGCACGGTAACCAGCTGCCCTGCACGGATCCACCTCGCGGCCCTTGGCACATGTCCGACTAGGGCCCGGCCCTTCTGGGACCTAGGTGGCAAGAGTGACCCTGATGTGACAGCATCCACTGGCGGCTGACCTTTGTGTGCTATGTTCTTCAAGACACTTTCCACTAAATATTTTGGTTTCACTTCAAAAACTTTCCTACAAGAATAGCAAAGGAAGCACCAGCTACTTTCTCCTCGTCCCCATTTTACAAATGGACACGCCAAGGCCCTGAGCAGGTTAAGTGACTTATCCGAGGTCACACAGCCTCAGATGTGGCAAGGCAGGGCTTGCGGATTCCGATGATGAGGGCTCATTCAGCGGGCCAACCTGCCTCCCCCAGCACCATGACAGGCAAGAAGCCCCCAAATCACCCTGAAACTGCAATGCCCATCTTGTGCCCACCCTCCTTTCCATGTAGGAGGGCTGCTCTAGGACTCGCACTCAACCGTGCCTTCCTCAGCCACCAGGCTCCTGGGCCACTCACCTGCCAGCTATTCCCAAATGCAGCCTCTGTGGGCAGGAGCACCCCGTCAGGGCCCTGCAGATCATCCTGGGCAAAGCCATTGAAGTTCCCACAGAGCCCACACATGTGGCCCCGGTAGGAGCCGGGCACGCTCACCTCCACCTGAGACTGCCCATCCCACAGCACCTGTGCAGAGAGGCTGACATTGGGGAGTGGGGAAATGTGGGGACCCCAAGAAGCCCATGGTCCGTCCTGGCCCCAGGCACTGCCAGCACACTCCATGCTGCAGGGCAGGAGAATGGGCGGGTAGAGGCTCCCCATGGAGAGGGGGCTGCCCTGGCCAAAGCCAAGTGGGCACGTGCTGTGTGAGTCCTGGGCAAACACAGAAGACATGAAGAGCTGCCCACAGCCCTGGCAGGAGGGCACCTTCTCCCGTGGGCACCCCTGAACTGGGCCCCCTGCTGAAATGCTTCTGAGATTCACTTTCTCATCGGCATTAGGGCCTTGGAGAGGATGAAACACAATTAGAGTCCAGATCAGAAGTGTAGACAAGACTTGTATGAATTTACAAATTGTACTTCTTGCCGAAGGCAGGGAGAAACCTACCCTTGGACATGGGATTGGGAAGGAATTTCAGAAACCACCCAGGAGGCCTTAGTTGACAGCCTCTGTCAAGAAGGAATTGTTCCCTCTTTTTACCAATAAGAAAACGGCTAGAGAGGGTTGGTACTGGCAGAAGAGTCCCACTGTGTTGGTGGCTGAACCAAGATTAGAAAGCCGGCTCAGAACTCCCTTCACTGCACCCAAGGTCCCGGACCATGATTCCTCTCCTCCCCTCAGAATCCAGCAGACCTTTCTGACCTCACTGGCCTGATGTGGCTCTGGACCTAGCTGGTATTCCCACTCCCTTTACGGACAGACGCCTGAACAGGTCCAAGGCTCCCACATCCCCACTGGGCCTTGAGCCGCACCTGGAGCCCGGGCTGGGCATGCAGGATCACCGTGCGTCTCCGGAGCTCCACGTACAGCAGCGGCTCCTGCAGAAAGGGCAAGGCCACCGGGCGCCCGTCCACCTGGAGGAGGGAGGCAGGAGGAGGGGCGAAGTCGGGGCAGTGGAAAGCACTGGATCAACCATGCCCGGGTCCTCAGCTTTGCTCACCGTGACCTCTCTGCCCTGCAGCAGCCGCACGGCCACGTCTCGGAGAAGCACCACCACCTCCTGGGTCCAGGCCACACCCCTCCGGCCCCGGTTATCGTTGGTCACGTGCACTCTGTGGCGTGAGAGGCCCAGGTGCAGGGGGTCAGCAGGGACAGGTGTAAGGAGTTAGGGAGAGGGCAGAGGGGGTTGCGCACCTGAAGTCCCCTCCGCGGCAGTCCTTGGCCAGCACGTAGCTGCAGCTGCCCTGGAAGTGCAGCAGGCGGCCGTCGAATGTTCGGTAATGAGGGTCTCCGAAGGCCATGCAGGAGGCGGGTCGGGGCAGGCAGCGAGGGCAGCAGCTGCCGGGACTCAGGGCGGGGGCCTCGTCCTGGCCTCAGCCCCAGATCTCGTCAGACCCTCTCGGCGGTGCCCCTCGAAGACCCTCCCCTGGGACCGAGGATCCCCCGGGAATCTCCCCGGCTCACCGCGAGCGGGCTCAGGGCACCGCCCTGTGGCCGCACCTGGAACTGCACCGCCGTGGGGTTCTCCGACCCCAACCCCACCCCCACTCCTTGCCCCCCGCGCCGCGGCCGCTACCCAAGCTCTGCTGCCTTCCTCCCGCGGGGTCTTACCAGGAAGGCGGTGCCACGTGCCCACTCACCCCACCGCCCGAGACGCGGCACTCACGGGGCCACAGGAGAGCGGCGGGCAGCGCTGGCTCTTGCAGCGCACGGTGCCTGCCACGCAGGAGCAAGTGGTGCAAACGTCCACGGCCCAGCGCTCCCCGGAGGCCACCGCCCGGCCCTCGTGCGCGCACGACTGGGCGGGGGCTGAGGGGACAGGAGCGGGGTAGCGTCAACTGCCCGTCCCTCACACCGGGTCTCGCTCGTCCCCA